TTATTTAAGTAAAAACCACGGCTAGCTAAGTTAATGCCGTTTCACATGGTTTTTATCAAACGACAAAAAACGAAAGGTGGTTTTTGAAGTGTTTTTGATGGAAAACTATTTCAATGTTCCTAGAAGTAAAAACCAATCATAAAAAGTTGAAAACCACTCGATTAGTTTGGACGCCAAAAACCAACGCCGAAAACCGAATGCCGAACGCCGGTTTCTGAAACCCGAATGCCGGATGGCTTGGTTTTTGGTTTGGGCGAACACCAAGTGTTTTTAATGTTTTAAACATGTTTGAAAAACATTTTTATGATGTGAAATGCAATGAAAAGAATTTTAGCCTAAAGAGCCAAGGTGTAAAGATTGGGTCGGTCTTGATCACAATTGTGACCGACTCAATGATACTAAGACTACGGCCTTCGTTCTTGGTCTTCTTTTGGCCCTTGTTCTCTTTCTTCTCATCTTTGGTTCTCCCCTTGTATATTCAATGACTTGTCTCGTTCACGGCGGTTTGGAATTATCAAAACCTGTCATAACAACGAACACGGCTTTAGTACGATATCGTGATAAGCCCGTGTTTCAACACCAACATATCCAAAAGTCTTCTTTCTTTTCCTTAATTCAAAATAAAGTCTTTCCCATCAATTTTTAACTCCAGGTCAAAAATGAAATCAAAGGAAGACAAGTCAAACCTTAGTTTCTTCTTATCTTTTAAAACTTTTGTTTGCTTCTTTTCAAATGCTTTTATCCAAATAATGCCTTTCCTTCTTTCTCTTCCCATCCTGATCCTGAAAGCCTGAATAATAGATTATACACAATTGATAATCGATTATTCTATCCTACTGATTCCTTGTCACAAATTAGCAACCTCCAACAATCGATTATCTTCAAACTAATAATCGATTATCTGTGTCCTTAGAAAAATACCCAATTTTGGCGCAAGCCATGTTAATCAATTGTGCTTCAGTGTTAGTCGATTATTGGGCGCCTCTGAATATTTCCGGTTTGGAACCAAATCTTGCTAATCAATTACCCAGAGATATTAATCGATTATTCTACATCCTTGAACCTTGAAACTCAAAGTTATTCAATTCTTGTTTGCCTTTTCTAAGCTTGGGTATAAAGCTGAAATCATCCCCTGATTTTCAACAAAGAATAAAGTCTTTTGTTTCACAAAGCAAAAGCATAATCACTTTTGAAACAAAGGAACAGAAATCAGAAACAAAGTCATTGAATGAATAGTGCTGTTTTGGCATTTTATTCACAAAAGTCTAAAGCTTCATTCCCCATTGTTTTGTTCCTTATATGCACAAAATTCTCCATAAATAAACCCAAGGAAGATCTGCCCAAAATCAGGAGAAGCATATTGGAAAATTAGCTCACATGGAAGGACATTAATCTTTGATTTTTAGGAAAAAAGTAGGAAATTTCCTTTATTGTATTTTTCCTTATTTGTTGTTGTATAAATACTTCAGCCATGAGGCCATTGTAACAGAACCAGATTATTGAATTAAAACCTTATTTACTCTTTTGAGTAATTTCTTTAAAATAGTGTGATGATATTTTAACCAAATTTTCTAATGAAATATCTCTAAAGTTGGCTACTTTTGAGTGCGTATTAGTAGTCTAATTTTATACATTAGTAGTGATTATTAATGTGTAAAAGAAGATAAAAGCCCCATGTTAAGATAAGAGTGTGTCATCTCTTAACACCAACTTGGTTTATCCCTTCACTTTATTTCTGCCCATTTCATTCCTCTCCATTTTCTCTTCTTAAACCCCATTCTATTCTATCTTCATACATCAAAATACAAAAAAAAAAACCTCTTTCCCATACTCCATATTTTACCTCTTTAATTCTATCATCCATTTCCTTCTACAAATCCGCCACAAAATAGCTACTCGATAAGACCCCGGGTATCGGGTACAACAATGTGTAAAACTTAATTTTATCTACAAACCATCCAACAACTCATTAATCATGTCCTTGGGGTTTCGGCCCCTATAAGATGGTTTTTATTCAAAACAAATGTTTTTCTAACATCAAGGTCAAATAAATATAATGGAATAAAATAAAACACAAAAAATTGCTGCTGGGTACCCCTAATTTTGGGATAAAGACTAGCAGGTCCCATTGTTTTTCAAAATATACTCCGAGGTACCTTAAGATATTCGAAAACTGACTCCGGGGTGACAATCCGTCATTCTCTCCGTTAACATTTCTTCTCCGTTATCCTCCTCCTCCTCCTCTTCTCAAAAAATTGCTGCCAGGTACCCCTTATTTTCGNGTCCCATTGTTTTTCAAAATATACTCCGAGGTACCTTAAGATATTCGAAAACTGACTCCGGGGTGACAATCCGTCATTCTCTCCGTTAACATTTCTTCTCCGTTATCCTCCTCCTCCTCCTCTTCTCAAAAAATTGCTGCCAGGTACCCCTTATTTTCGGATAAAGACTGGCAGGTCCCATTTTTTAAAAAAATTTGCTCATGTGAACTTAAAATATGATGTTTGTGACTGAAGAGGGAACTTACGTATCATTTATAAAATTAAAATTATTTGATCACTTGGTTATAAATTATACGTCGTAATTCATAATAATATTAAATTTAACACTATTTTTATTGTTTCATATTATCTTTACAAGACATTAAATTTAACACTATTTTTATTGTTTCATCTTATTCTTTTCTCAAGTCCTCTTGTTTTCTCGATTTACCATGACACCATTACCAATGACGACTATCAATGACTAATGCAGAGTACTATTTTTCTAAATAATAATGATTTTTACTCCGTATTTCTTAAAAATAGAGTAATAAAATTACTACTCTGCAATTAACTTTTAATAATAATTACGGAAATAATAGGAAATACATAATATTATCAATTTTGACCTTAAAAACAAAAGTAGACAAATACTCTAGAACAGAGGAGTAGTTAATATGAAGTAATAATAATAACTAGTCGCATTTTTTAGAAAAGTATAGAAGTAAAATTACTAATTAATTGCTTAAAATAAATAATAGTATTAATAATAAGTGTTATTTTATAACAAGTGCTATTTTTCTAAATAACAATTAGTGTTTTTATAGAAAAGAGTGGTAAAACTAACAATTAATTTTTAATAATAATAGTAATAATAATAAATCAAAAAATTAATAATAATAATAGAATAAGAAAATAATAATTATGAAGTAATTAATTATAATAATTATGAACAAATAATAATAATTATAATAGAAGAAGAAAAAACAAAAGAAAAGGTAAAAGAAGAAAAAAACGTGGGTGGGAGAGGAATGGAGGTCACTGGAACTCTGGAAGGCAGGAGAAAGAAGAAGAAAAGAAGAAAAGAGGAAGAAGAAGAAAAGAATGGGACCTGCCAGTCTTTATCCGAAAATAAGGGGTACCTGGCAGCAATTTTTTGAGAAGAGGAGGATAACGGAGAAGAAATGTTAATGGAGAGAATGACGGATTGTCACCCCGGAGTCAGTTTTCGAATATCTTAAGGTACCTCGGAGTATATTTTGAAAAACAATGGGACCTGCTAGTCTTTATCCCAAAATTAGGGGTACCCAGCAGCAATTTTTTGAAATAAAACATCTAACGGAGTATAAAACTAATAAAAGTTCATATTTCCCCTGGTCGAGTGTTATATACTACAATAATTTTAATGGTGCTATTATTTTTTCGTTATATTCTTTTTTTCATACTTATTAAAACAAACCTTTAAACTTAGATTATGTATAAATGCAATCACGTTGGAAACATAATTATTTAGTAATTATATCTTCTAGGATAGAGATTTGTGAGTGGGGCGTTTGATCTCTTTTTTTTAAAAATTTAAATAAAGCTTGAATCAGTCCTTGGGTAAATAACATGATAAAGAAATGCACTAAAATAGATGAACATGAAATGTATGGCTAAGGGTTAGGGTCAACGGGCACACCTTTAGTGTTAATTCAAACAAAGTGACAACTTGACGGTGTCGACGAGATTATTCCGTGCCTGCATCACCCATGGCACTCTATCTCTTCCATGGCAATGCCACTAACCACGCACTCTTAGATACTCACAAACCTCTAAACCAATCTTTAATTTATTATGTATTATTTCTTTCAAGTGATCATGGCATGGATGGATGGGTCACTCTTCCTATGAGTCCCTATTTATAGGAAAGAAAAGAAGATTCTAGAAAGTGGAGGGAAGAGGAAAATGGATGATTTCTATTTTTTTAAAAAATATTTTTTTTATTTAATTAAAAATTAACTAAATGCTCATTATTAGCCCTTAATGATGTTATATGAATGGGAAAGAGGTAACAAGTTCAGGCGTGAGAATTAAGGGAGAAAACAACGGTTTTCTTGTTCCGTTGGTTTAGTACCATGTGTCCGATTTCCACAGTTCCAATTATTAAATATTCCGAAAAAAATACAAAACTTATACCGTTAAGTAATATATTTTTCACACATCATTTGACATAATCTGTTTATTAATAAAATAGGTTCACCTGAACAAATTAAACTATATTATTCAGATATTAGAGAACCAAAACTAATTTTATTCCCTTTCGCTTTATTATTTTTTTCATCTCCACTAAAAAAATTGATCATTTACAATTAAATTCCAATTTTATTATCTCTAAATAAATAAAAGTAACATTTTTTAAAATCATTTCTTTGTACTAGAAAGTTAGAATTTCTAGACCATTTTTCAGGGCGTTACAGGCACTACTCCCGCTATCGATTATCAATGAACACACCTTATTTTGAATGGTGCATTGAGTATGAAAAATACTCTCTCGAGGTGTGGTATCATCCTAGGCATCCGCATGACTAATGGTCTTCTGAATGACCAAAAGTTCACCTTCATCGGGGCCGACGATTTCTTCTTCTTTGTTCAGCTCTCCTTGAACCCAAAATGGATTCATTTCTTCCTTTTCACATTCGACAATAGCCATGATCTTCTTGTTTGGGCAATCACTAGCATAGTGACCAATGCCTCGGCAACGAAAACATTTTTGTATTCGGCTATTTGATGAGCTCAGTTTTGACAGAGGAGGAGCACTTGGTGAGGAAATAGGATGCACTATTTTAGGACTTTCAGGGGAAGATACTGTGGGGTTTTGGGTAGCAGGGTGGTGGAATTTGATGTCTTGGGTAGGAAGAATTACCACGGCTCAAAGAAGATTTACCCTTCTTGAGTTGGGCTTCCACTTTAAGTGCTAACTTGGTTAACTCTTCAAAGTTCTCAAAGGTTTGCAGCTCCACGGTGTTGGCGATTTGGGTGTTTAGGCCAAAGAGATATATCACAAAGGTTTGCGAGTAATTCTCTTGGAGATCACACCGCATCAAGAGTTCTTCAAACTCTCGGTTGTATTCTTCGACGGACCAATTTCCTTGCCTTAGGTGTTGAAGCCTAGCAAAGTTTTCCCTTATATAATGGGTGGGAGTGAATTTCTTCTTCAATAAAGTCCTCATCTTGGTCCATGTTTTAACAGAAACCTTGCCATCTTTTTTGCGCTTAGTGGTAGTGTTAGTCCACCATGTAGACGCGTAGCCTCTGAATTTTAAGGCCACAAGCTTGACCTTCTTGTCCTCCGGCACTTCAGTATAGTCAAAGACGCGTTCAATTGTCTCTAACCATTCAATGAAATCATTCGGGTCATCTTTTCCATCGAAGGTTGGTATTTCAACCTTGAAGTTAGAGGAAGACTTCTCTTGGTTGGATCTCCTCATGGTGGGAGAAGGAACTTCGGATTGGACGTCCTCTTCTTGCTCATCTTCGCTTTCCTCTGGAGTTTGGACCATGCTCATTTTCAACTTGCTAAGTTGAGCCACTTGTTTGGCCAAATACTCAACTTGAGCTTTGAGTCCGGCATTAGATGCAACCAAATCTTCCTTGGTGATATTTTGGGAGGTGTACGTGAGACATATTTTGAACTAGGGAGTGAAAGAATGAAGGAAATGGGGAGGGGAGAGTGTTTTGGCCATAATGAGGATGACGGAAAGGAGAAAGAGTGGAAGAGTGTTCTTGGTCCTTTGGGATGTAGGAAGTAAGAGCTCTCATACCAGATGTCATAAATTCAAAATCTGAACACCCGTGATTTCTTATACACACCCACACAAAATTGATACACTTGAGGGAATCTAAGATAAGGTAACCCAACGATAAGTGTTGTGCTTGAGTCATATCAGAAACGAATTCGCCATGGCTGCAACAACAGTTGAATCTGTAATGCCACGCCAAGATACATTCGTTTCTTACAATGCTTAATCCCTTTAGATGAGGGTTGCCATACAGAGAGGCACTGTGTTTTTGTGGGTTGTTGGAAGCCAGTGATAAGAAGCTATTTTGAGAAGGAGGGCATAAGAACTCTTGAGTACAAAGGAAGGAACTTTTAATTTTCCATGTTGTGAGTTTCTCACACCATTTGTAAGATCATGCCATATGGTGTCTTCATCAATGGGGGAAACCACAGAACAAGAGGTTGTACCCAGAAGTGTGTTGATGACAGTTGGAGAAAAATTATAGAATTTTCCTCTGACAAAGACTTTGTGAAATGAGGGGTCATCATCGGTCATACAAGCATCAGATAAGTTGCAGAAAAATTCTTGAATCACTTTCTTGACATAAGATCCAGGCAAGGTGACAGATTTGAACAAGTTGTTGGACTCAAGAACAGGCAGGAGGTTGGTTTTCTTTTTAAAATCACTTATATCCAAGTTCCTTTGAGGAATGATAAATTTCTTTGCAATATCAGTGAAATGAGATCTAGCAGAAATTGAGATGAAATTGTGCAAAGATGACTTTCCTGAGAGTGTAGCAGGTTCAACAACCTTTGATGTAGAGGAGCTTCTTGTCTTTCTTGCTCCGCTTGTCTGTGCTTCTCCAGATGGTTTGGCCTTCTTGGTAGGCGTAGTAGCAGCATCCTGTCCTTTCCTTTTCTTTGCCTTTGTAGTGGACACATTCTTCTGTTCCTTCCTTTCTTCTTCAGACTTGTCATCAGGAACTGGTGAGTCTTTCATTTTCCGCAGTGACCATCGGCTTGGACCAGATAGGTTTTTCTTCCTCTCTTTTCTTCCTTTGAATTTTGAATCTGGATCTTGAAATGGAACGTTTGAACATGCAATTAGGGGTTCTTCTTCAAGTATTTCACCCACAAACTCAGGCTCAGACACCCCCTTTACTGATTCTTCATCTTCCATAGACATCCCTCTTTTTGATTCTTGGCTAGGGTTCTGAGAACTCTCGTTGTCTGGTAGGGTTGATGGGATGTATTTCAAGAGAGGAACCTCTGTTGACTGAAGAATGGGGTTCTTCAGCACATCCTCTTCAGTAGGGAGTTCATCGGGTGCATGTTCCCTTTCTTCGTTGATGGGTGTATGAGTGCTTGACGATGTGCTAGGCATGGCGAAAAGCTTTGTCCAGGAGGGCTTTTTGAATATCTTCTTCTTCTTCTTTGGTGGACTTTTTCCGGTCCATCTCTGAGGTAGAGCAATCTTCGTTCTCACCATGTGTATGCTTGGGAGAGGAAGACGGATGATTCAATTTTAAATTTCTAGACAATTCTAAGGTGGAGTGAAAGCTTTTGGAATTTATTTGATCTGAGACGCAGCCTTTTGAGATCTTGCAGTGCCTCTTCATTTCTTGAGTTAATTTTAGACGCCACTCTTGTGCTCCGTGTCCATGCAGTGCATGCCCCCTTTTTGTGCCATATGTCATATTTTCAGCGGATAAGAAAATTGAACACATTAGCTGACAATTTGTGTTCAAAGAAAAATATGTGACATATTAATAAGGTGCACACAGACCTAATTTGGATCTGAGTGTTTCAAATCTACTTCCATCCAATGCCTTTGTGAAAATATCAGCCAGTTGCTCTTCTATATCAACATGCTCCAGACTAACAATTTTTCCTTCCACTAATTCTCGTATAAAATGATGCTTAATGTCAATGTGCTTTGTTCGAGAATGTAGCACAGGATTTTTTGACATACTGATTGCACTTGTGTTGTCACAATACAATGGTATTTTCTTCTGTTGGATTCCATAGTCTGATAACACTGACTTCATCCATAACAATTGTGCACAACAACTTCCGCCTGCTATATATTCAGCTTCTGCTGTAGATAATGACACTGAGTTTTGTTTCTTACTTAGCCATGCAACCAAATTTCCTCCTAGAAAGAAACAACCCCCAGATGTACTTTTCCGATCATCTATATTTCCTGCCCAGTCTGCATCACTAAATGCTGCTAATTGTGCTGGACCACCCTTCTCGTACCATAATCCCAAGTTTTGTGTGCCTTTGACATATTTTAGTATTCTTTTGACAACCTTGAGATGTGACTCCTTTGGACTTGCTTGGTATCTGGCACATACTCCCACACTATAACAGATGTCTGGTCTGCTGGCAGTAAGATATAGCAAGCTTCCAATGATGCTTCTGTAATGAGTCTCGTTTACCGATTTTCCACAATCATCTCTGCAGATCTTTTCATGTGTTGGACAAGGTGTTCTAGCACTTTTACAGTCACTCATATCAAACTTCTTCAGCATGTTCTGTATGTACTTAGCTTGTGAGATAAAGATGCCTTTCTCTGTTTGCTTTACTTGCAACCCCAAGAAAAAGGTTAGTTCTCCAATCATGCTCATCTCAAACTCCATCTCCATTGTTTTGACAAACTTATCAACATGCTGCTTTGAGGTGGATCCAAAAATGATATCATCAACATATATCTGAGCAATGAGGATGTCTGATCCGTACCTTTTATAGAACATAGTGTTGTCTGCTCCACCCCTTTCGTATCCTTCCTTGAGAAGATAAGTGGTCAGCCTCTCATACCATGCACGTGGAGCTTGTTTCAACCCGTAGAGTGCTTTCCTCAGTCTATAAACATGATCTGGATGTTTTGGATCTTCGAACCCTTTTGGCTGTGTGACATAGACTTTTTCTTTAAGATAGCAATTCAAAAATGCAGTCTTCATATCCATCTGATAGAGTTTCATGTCAAGGATGCATGCCATACTGATTAACATGCGAATGGATTCTAGTCTTGCAACTGGAGCAAATGTTTCTTCAAAATCGATTCCCTCAATTTGTGTATAACCCTGAGCTACCAGCCCTGCTTTATTTCTGACTACTTTCCCATCTTCATCTGTTTTGTTTCGAAAAATCCATTTTGTCCCAATAACATTAACACCTTCTGGTTTTGGAACTAGCTCCCATACATTGTTGCGTTTGAACTGTCCCAGCTCTTCTTGCATAACATCTATCCATGGTTCTTCTTTAAGAGCTTCTTTTATGTTCTTTGGCTCAACTGAAGAGGTGTAGAAAGCATTTATCATTTGGACAAATTCTATCTTCTTTTTCCGAGTCTGAATGCCTTCTCTTGGATTCCCTATGATATTTTTCGGTGGATGATTTTTGTGCACATGTGTGGGTATTCCTGTTGACTTCTCTGGTGTTGTTGCTGACTCCTCTGAAACTGTAGTTTGATCCTCCTCATTGTTTGTTTGTTCTTCAGATTCTGTCTCTTCTTGTTCTGAAGCAGTCTCAGTTTGTGTTTCAGTGATTTCAGTGTCATCACTGCACCTTCTTGGTATTTGATCATCTACCACCACGTTTATTGATTGAATTATATTCCTGGTTCTTTTGAGCAATACTCTGTACGCCTTGCTTTTTGGTGAGTAGCCTACGAATATTGCTTCTTCACTCTTGGCCTCGAACTTTCCTTTCTGTTGTCTGTCTCGTAAGACATAACACCTTGCTCCAAAAATGTGGAAGTGTGCAAGGTTTGGAGTTCTTCCTTTCCACAACTCATATGGTGTAGCCTTTGTGCCACTCCTGATGTATACCCTGTTTATTGTATAGCAGGCTGTATGTACTGCCTCAGCCCATAGATTCTGAGCTAAGTTTTGGGTGTTTATCATTGTGCGGGCCATCTCTTGTACATGTCTGTTCTTTCTCTCAGCAATTCCATTCTGTTGTGGGGTTTTTGGAGCAGAAAACTCCTGCTGAATTCCTTCCATGTTGCAATAATCACTAAAGGGCTGACTTTCAAATTCCCCACCATGGTCACTCCTAACACGAATGACCTTTTTAATCTTGAGTTGTTTCTCATTCTGCACTTTGTTGCACAGTATGACAAAGGCTTCTAGTGCATCATCTTTGTGTCTTAAGAAGCTTACCCAGGAATATCTTGTGTAATCTTCCACTACTATGAGCACAAATCTTTTCCCTCTGATGCTTTCTGTTTTCATTGGCCCAAAGAGATCAATATGTATTAACTGCAATGGTCTTGTGGTAGATTGATATACCTTCTTAGGATGGCTTGCTCGTGTTTGCTTCCCTTTCGGACATGGACCACATACTTCACCTTCCAGTCTCTTTATTTTAGGCAATCCTCGAACTGCATCAGAGTTTGAGAGGGTTGTGAGATCTTTAAAATTTAGATGACCAAGCCTGTAGTGCCATAGCCTTGCATCCCGTTTGCTTGCAGGAAAACACAGAACATTTGGAGTGACTTTGTAACAGTTGTCAGTTGTTCTGTCACCTTCTAATACCACCAGTTTGTTTTTGTCTTTCACGCGACACTTTTGCTGAGTAAATGTGACCTCCAGCCCTTGGTCACATATCTGGCTGATGCTCAGTAGATTTACCTGAAGTCCTTGTACAAGCCATACGTTCTTGATTGGTGGAAGTCCTGAAACATTTAGTATTCCACACCCAATGATTTTACCTTGTGCTCCACCACCAAATCTAACATTTCCTCCCTCAATTGAGTTGATGTTAGCAAGATTCTGACTGACACCAGTCAAATGATGAGAACATCCACTGTCTAGTAACCACTGATCAGGAGTGACTCTGAGACATGAATTTGCTACCATGACTCTTTTCTTTGGAACCCAAATCTGCTTGATCTTCTGAATTCTTGTTCTTTTATTTTTGAGCCTCTGGCATGTCCTCTTAATGTGCCCCCATCTTCTGCAGTAGTAACATCTGTAGTTTTGATAAGTCAAAGAGTTTCTTCTATGACGCTTGATATTGTAGCTCTTGATTGGTTTTACTGCTGAGTGATAGCTGTTTCTCATGTTCTTTGCTAATGTCACACTGTCTTCTTTGAGTGGATCATTTGTTTTGGTGTGGCTATCACATCCAATTCCTTGTCTATCTCCTGGTGCTTTGAACATCATCTCCTGTGCATCCAGTACTTCAACTCCGGCTATCTTCATCCACTTAATGTAATCCTTGAGCTTTTGCAGTTCAAATTTTAGATCTGCATTATTTGTTTCTGCTTTCTCTAAATTCTGCTTCAAAATCTTTAGATCACATGCCAGCTGATTCTTTTCTGCTATATTTCTTCTGTTAACCATAAGCAGTTCAGTCCACTTTTCTTGAAGATCCATATGTTGTTCAACTAGATCATCTGACTCTGACTGTGAGATAAAAGCACAGTTGCTTTCCTCACAACCCTGATCTTCGTCAGTATCATCATCACTCCAGGTTATTGAAAATGCTTGTCTCTTCTTTTTAAGGTTGTTTGCACACTCAGTCTGAATGTGC